AGCGCACAAATCCCTTAAACGCCAGCTCATCAAGAGTTTGAGGAATGATCGCGAGAAGTGGTGGGTAGAAAAGTGTAAAGAGATGGAGAAGGCTGCGGCTATCGCTAATAGTCGCAATTTTTCCGTCTAATTAGGAATACGGGCCCCGGGAAAGTAGGCGCGAGGTAATTAAGGAATCCGACGGCACATTGACTCACGATCAGCAACGCCGTCTTGACCGTTAAGCTGAACATTTTGAGGTTCAGTTCAGCTGGCCCGGTTTGACATCTGAATTATCATCCTCCACCTAGACTGGGCAAATACTCCCAGTTGATGCTAGTCCTCCATCTGAAATGGAGGTATCTCGGGAAATAAGTTATCTCAAACGGCATATGGCTTCTGGATCCGACGGGCTGTCCCATCATCATCACTGTACAGCGTAATACAGTGAAGCGAACTTCACTGACCGCCGCCAAACTCACATTGCATACACGTAAGTGAGAATGTTAAGGAGGATAGGGATTGGACTTAATTTTAGGGACGGGAAAAGAAAGCTGTCTCCATCGGTTTTTAAGGATGGAGGTTCAGCCTTAGTTTTGGAGTTAACGAAGCTCCTGGACATCATTTTTGCATAGTTTATCGTCCCACCCACAGATTAAGTGATGCTCATTGATTTTTCGGTATTTCATTTTCCAACAACGAAACATTGAATGCGGCAAACTCCAACTGTAAAAACATGAATTATGACATCTCATCTCTACAACGAAGAAAGATCGTTTCATTCCTCAGATTCTTTTATTACGGGCCACAAGGGCGACGCTTTTATGATGGTTAACAACGTGAGTCAGATTATTGACCACCATACAAGCATCCCCGATCGAGAAGGCAACTACCTCCATATACTCAACCTTATATTTTTTACCCATGCCCCTTTGGTTTACAAATATCGCTACCATGCCAAAGGTAGCTTACACCTCTGTGTGGCCGATTTATTTATCACGCTCTAATGCAGCTCAGAAGTGCAAGAAAATATAACCCTTGTTATTTCGCTCACTCAGTTAGCGACAGAAATTAGCCTTTGAAATAGCTCGATAAGCATAACACTCGATTGTGAGATATGACTGTGGACCGAACGATCATCTACAACATGAATCGAGATTCAAGAAGTCGATAAACGACCCCAAACTTGTGGAAACCAAAATAAAATGGGTTTCAAAACCAAACTATATAAAAGTATTCGACGAACTCACCTGTGTGTCAAGCAAAATGATACGATCCTGAGTGATATACAGATCAATACCTCCTGTTTGTGGACTGTTTGTTGTAAGATTCTGGAGGGACTGAACCTTGAAAGGGCCATCCAGAAGAATTGTTCTGCTTGTTAACTGATTAGCCATTACATTTAAGAGACTGGATTTTCCGCAACCCTTCAAAGAACATTAGAAACGAGTTAGAGAGATGCACGTACTTGTAAACCTAAAGCTCCGACAACCAAGAATCCGGTATTCTCGACAAATAAGTCCTGAATCCGAGCCAGGTCAGTGAAAAGTAGTTTTTCATCAATCAGTTTAACGGGATATTGCATTGGATCATCGCACAGAGCGTACAGTTCATCTATATCATTCTCCGATTCTGAAAGCTCTGGCTTATTAACCGGTCTGTCGAATAACTCGAAAACGCGTTCCATCGTACTTTTCTGAAACAGATAGATCACAAACTCAACGTACCTTCAGGTTGCCAATAAAGACGATGTTAAAGATTTCATAACGAAATAAAGATTAAATAAGCAAGCATTATAGTTTCATAATTCATCATCACCATAATCGTGCAGCAGAATACAGCGAAGTGAACTTTGTCTATCACTGCTAAGCATAAAACGCATAAAAGGTGAGTGAAAGTGGACTGAGATTGAGCCGCGTTTTAGGAATAGAGAGCAAGCGAACCTCTATGATCAACAATCAGGATACACATCTTTCCAAGAATTGTAGCCTGATAAGAAGTGACAACAAGAACGCCACTGCAGTCGGTTCGCTGGCGATCAACCAGTTGTGCCTGATAGAACAGAATGGAGAGTGAGGGCTCCGCCTGTACTGACACTAAACCGGATGCAGCTGTTTACTTAGCTCAGGACCGACAGATTGCTTTGTGAAAACAGCTTGAATGCGCCATCCCGGGTGTTTCGTGAGTATTGGGACTAACCTAATACTCTGTTCTTTTATGGTCTATCCATTTGTCTCTCGCTCTGCTCTACGGTGCAGACTTCGCCATTACGGGAACAGGATAAAAATAGATTTTCGGTGTTCGAACACTACTGTGTACATTGCACTGCACGAGTCTGGCAGGGAAACCGGACAAGCTACGTTAAGGTTAGGCCTAGGAATTTAGGTAACCGAGGCCGTCCAATGGAAAGTGGTTTATCTCTATAGACTATGGTGTTTGAGACATGTATTGTGCATGTCACCAAATAGGTTGCCACGACGAACGATGTTTGTCGAGGAAGGCAGCGGATGGAAAAAACTCAAAAGCGGTCAAGACCTGGTACGAGGGTAGGAGAACCTTAACCAAGTGACTCAGTCCTATAGGTACCGTTAGACTCTTTGGATGGGGACTTCGAGATCATGGGAACCGCTCGTTAGAAACACAGAGTGATATGGTTGAGTGCCGCAAACAGTGGCGCTTGTGCATCTACTCAGTATTCTATCAATCCGTCCATATGGATTCTCTATCTTCTTTGACTCTGCTCGCAACGTTCCAATCTGTGTTCTGCTTTTAATCAAATGGGCGACCAAAAGACAGAAACCAAAACCGGACCACGAATGTGCATGGTTAGTGGTTGTAAAAAAAATGAAATTGGTACTATTCTGGGTTTTGCTCCGCTTAACCCGCCTCTTCCGTCCCTTTTCCACTTGTTCTTCCTCGAAGATCCCGTACACAAGCGGCTAGTCACCTATTTCAAGTGACTATTCCTAGATGTCGCAATTCCTTCTGTCATCTTTGTCCCAATAGCAGCACAACTGTGAACGCTCCTACTTTCAGTTTAAAACATGTTACTCTTTAAAGTTTAAAATCATTTTCAGTTCGAACAACCAGTAACCATGCATTTTCGTGGGTCGGTTTTGTTTCCTATCTTTTGGCTGCCCATTTAGATGAAAAACGGGAGAAAGAAAGAAAAGTTGAAGGCAGAGTGGAATGGAGGATTTCAGTAGACTAACGTTGCAAAGAAATTGCGAAAATGCACGAACGCCACTGTTTACGACAACCAGCTATTACGCTTCAACTAGGTGGTTCCAGTTTGAATGCTCCTTTAAATATCCCCTGTGCATTATTTTCTTGAATTATGGGGTTTACCTTTTTTGCTGCATCCATCTCTGTATTAAACAAAGATGAAGTTTCACAGAGGTAAGAAGATGGACATGAGGTAAAGGTGTGCCACCTGGACCTCAGGAAGGAATTTACTCGGTAGATCATCAGCTCCTGCTCGTAAACGCCTACGAATTCCTCAGAATGGTCGGGGATGAGGGTTGCGGCTGGTCACCTTCCCTTGCACCTCGCGAAATGCTCCCATACGACCAAGCGTCTCAAATAGCCTCTTCTGAGGAAGTCCTACTCACTACCTTCTCGTGGCGGAGGTGTTTTTGCACGAAAGTGAGAGGACGAAAAGTTGATATCCGGGGCTATAACTGGGTTGGTGAACCACTGGCAGCTCACCTAGGGGAGTTGGCTAAAAACCCTGATTCCAAACCAACCAAGAGTAGGCGTACGAACCACATCCACACTTCTCCGGTTGTGGTAGTGGTCACCGGCTCGATTGGGTATCGAGGTGTATTGGGCACCTTGGACGTTTGACCCCATCCGACAGGTGTATGATCCGATGAACTGGATACCGGCTCCCAATGGATTGCGGTTTTCGCACACCGCCCCGCTGCCTTGCAGGTCAGGCTTTGGTTAGCCTAAGGCTCCGGTTGTGGATTCCTCAAGAAAATCCACCTGTCTTGGCCTGGCAGTATTTTGCCCACTTGCAAATCGTGGAGCGTTTTTCTTTTTATAAAGATTATTGTACCACGATTTGTTTAGCACACAGTCTGGCATCAGACATGCGGGAAATATATAAACATATATATCCTGCACATAAAACTCAGAGTATTTGGTCTTCCAGTACCTTAGATGGATAGATGCGTTCCTCAAGAAGAGGATCTATAGAGCTGGGGTGGGGGCAGCAAGATACACCGTTGGCAATGTATCCAATGGAGTACCTCAGGAGTGAGTATTGAGCTCGGTTCTCTTTCTACTATACATCAACGACTTGGCCCTAGACCTCACTGCCTCC